CTTCAGTAGATAATGGTAAGATCATGGTACAGGCCAAACCTCCAATCTCAAAGCCTGACGTACTGGAAGGATTAAACTTCAAGCTGTGAATTTTTTGATGCGTTGGGCGCATAACGACTTAAGAGAGGCCCATGGCAATTAACCAGGCTAAAAATCCGGGTCTGGCCCTGGTAAAGAACCCTCCACATGGATGAAGAAGAAGAGATTGGATTTATACCCCGCCCAAAGGTGTCTCAGAGCGGCTTACAAACTCCTCTCCCTTCCCCTCCCCACAGCAGACACCTGTGAGGTAGAAGAAGAAGAGGAGACTGGATTTACACCCCGCCCTTCACTACCCGAAGGAGTCTCAGAGCGGCTGACAAACTCCTTTCCCTTCCCCTCCCCATGACAGACATCCTGTGAGGAAGGCGGGGCTGAGAGAGCTCTGACAGAAACTGCTCTTTTTCAAGGACAGCTCTTATCAGAACTAGGGCTTGCCCAAGGTCATCCAGCCAGGTGCAAGTGGAGCAGTGGGGAATCAAACCCGGGTCTCCCAGATTAGAGTCCGCGCACTTAACCACTAAACCAAACAGGGTCTCTGGATGTCAGACGTCCCTCAAAACAATGTCTAGGCATCTCTGGCACCATGCTCGAGAGCCGAGAACTTATGAGACTGGTAGAGAAGCCAGCCAGGTGTCCTCCACAGCCACATCGCAGCACAGGTGAGGTAAGGCCAGCCTGGAGGAAACGCCTTCTGATGCCCTCCCACGTGGTCCTAGGACTGCTAGAGAGAGCGTCACATCTGTGCACTGAGAACCCCGGACCCTTGCCAGATGTGCAGACAGGATGGCATTACTTAGCCAAAGGGACTGACCACATCCTTCCTGAACAGCAACTAAAACAAAGAAGAGTCTTAGCCACACTCAACAGCGTCAAGGAGAAAAGATCCCTTACCCAGAGCGGCCACGTTCCCAAAATTCTCCAGCATGACGTCCTTGTAGAGAGTTCTCTGGGCCGGGCTCAGCAGGGCCCACTCCCCCCGGGTGAAGTACACGGCCACCTCCTCAAAGGACACCGGATCCTGGAGGAGGAAAAGGAAGAAGAAGGTAATCCTTCCCATCCCTGGGAAATTGGTTCATGAGGAATAAATCCAAACACGGGTATTAAAATGATTCCTGAACAGCAGCAGCCAGGAGGGGATCGGGGCCCTGAGGCGTCCCCTTCCCAGCTCTCCTTGGGGTATTCTCTGGGGATAGAGGGGCGGCCGGCACTTACAGGGGGCTAACCCGATGGCCACCTGCTCTTGCTCCCTCCTCCTTTGACCTCTCTGCTCGGCCTCTAGGAGTAAGGCGCTTCCGGAGAGAGGAGGATTGGAGTATGCAAAAGCACACTGATATTTGACTGAGAGGAGAGCCAGGGCTTTCCCTCCAGGGTGCTGAAGGAGACGCAGATGTTTTTAACTCCCTCCTCACTTGAATTGCTACCTGGGTAGGCAAGAGTGGTCGATGCTCTCCTGAGAAGAGCAGGAGTTGAGTCTACGCAGTTCCTTCCTAGCTGGGAGAGGAGCAGATCCGTTGAGGCAACGGCCAAAGGGGTGGCAGAGTCGGAAACTTCTTTCCTATTTCCAGTTTTTGTGGGTGTGTCTGAAGCTGTTTTCACACATGCTGAATTATGCACTTTCGACCCACTTTCCATGCACTTTGCGACTGGAATTTACTGGGAGAAATGGCAAAATCTGCTTGCAGGTATAATAACAATTGATTGGCACAGTAATGAGATAATACGGAGGACAGGAAAAACTGTGAAAAAGTGACGCTTAATATATGTCTTTAAAGAATCATAGAAAAGTGAACAAAAATAATATACATAATCATAGAAAAATATATTGACGGTGATCTCTGGAATGTCTTGCCGTTTCGAAGGAAGATCTTCTTCTGAACAAAGATGTGGGACAAAAAATGTCTCTCAGAGATTCAAATCCTCTGGTGACGTCTCACAATTATCAAGGAAGATTTTCAATGTTCATAACAGCTGTAATGTAACAGATTGTAATGCATTACAATCATCTTAGCCCACGGCAGGTTCTATTACACATTACAGCTGTCATGAACATTGAAAATCTTCCTTGATAATTGTCAGACGTCAATTATCATTGGTATACCAATGGTGGTAAATCAATGTTCCCTCTAAGCTGTGGCATCTTGTGAGCAAAAATTCTACTTTGTGAGCTACTGGCATTAAAGTTGTGAGCGAGCGATTTGCCTGCTGCATAAATTAGCTTGCTCTGGAGCCATCCTTCCTGGGCTAAGGCAAAAATGTTTGAGCCGGAGTTTTAATAAGACACCGGGGCCGGACGGTTTCCCAGCGGAATTTTTTAAAACATTTACAACGCATCTAGTCAAACCGCTCACTGAGGCTTTTAATTACACTTTGAGAACAGGCTACATTCCCCCGTCTTGACATCAGGCGACCACTGTTATTCTGCCCAAAAAAGGTAGAGACCCACTGCAACCCGGCTCTTATAGGCCCATATCCTTATTAAATCAGGACCTAAAAATATTCACGTCAATCCTAGCAAAAAGAATGAACATGTTCATTTCAGAATATATTCATCCAAATCAAGTAGGCTTCATCCCCTCGAGAGACTTGGCGGATAGTACATTCAAAACTCTAAATTTGATTCGTCACAGTTCCCATACCAAAATTTCAACGGCTTTTCTCTCTTTGGATGTGGAGAAAGCTTTTGATTCTGTACAGTTTTCCTATCTCTTCATGGTCCTCGAGAACATGGGTTTCGGTGTAAACTTTTTGAAAGCCTTGAAGGGATTGTATTCTAAACCCAGTACTAACATAAAAATTAATGGTTCTCTTTCCAAAATGATACACTTAGGCAAAGGCACAAGGCAAGGATGCCCGCTTTCCCCAATACTATTTGCGCTGGCAATAGAACCGCTTGCCAATGCAATTCGTTCAGAAACAACTATCACAGGTATTCATACAAAGGGCAAGGAATATAAAATATCTCTATTCGCCGACGACATGCT